TCTGGGCATTCCTCGCTGCACTGTACAGCATACACCACGTAACGTGCAAAAGAGGGGTGACGGCACGCAGGGTGGAGTGGATGGAGAAAAGTGAATTTATGAAAATGACTAAAAAGCATCTTGTGATGATTTTTCAGGCAACAGCCAACCCTGGAAAATAAATCGTTTTAACTCTTCATATGGGCGAAGTTACAAGTACATTAAAAATGCATAAATCTGAGTGACAGGATCTTAAAAGATGAAAGGGAACACTTGCACCATGGCTCTTTCTACTCAGACCACACGTGTCTTCTGACCTGACCTCAATTACGATCCCTGGAAAGTTGCGCATCTGTATTTTGCATGACTGATGAAATCTATCTGTAGAAAAGACAGAGGTAGAACTATAAACTGCCACAACGGCCCACTCAAAACCAGCTTTCCAGTAGTTCATTCCACAGTACTGCACACCAGCAGACTCAAAAGATAAAAACAATGCCAGCCATACTCTCACACAATTTAACCAGTGCAGTACAACACTGTACACACAGGTACATGAGGGTTAAATACAAAAGAAAGAAATGAACTAGCATATTCTGCATGCATAGTCACCTATCATCTGAGATACAACCCTAACATATTGACAGGGAGTTTAAAACACACACAGAATGAGAAGTATTTAAATCCATACTTGTGAAATGGAGCAAAAACCCACATATAGACAAAGCCACACAGGAAACAGCATCACTGAGTTTAAGCCAGTAAAAGATGAAATGCGTGTAGTTATGGAATGCACTAAGATAAGAAAGGTTCAGGCCCATGGCACACACCAGTGAGTCATGCCTTTAAGATCCTTTCGTTCTGCTGCGCGTGTGTCTGTGGCGAGCGCTGCTAAGCAGGCATGTCGGTTTCAATTTTGTGACGCAGAAGACATACACTCATGTTATTGTCTTATCTCTCTGTCAAATATCTACCTCCTGTCTATACTGAGGCAGAGTGGGTGGGGGCATAAATGAACCAAAAGCTACAGCAAGTGCAACAGGATGGTGCTGGGGGTTTGCAGAATACCAGGAGTCAGGCCAGCTGAGGCAGAGATGGGAGAAGACAAATGACTGATTTGGCCATAAATCTGCCAGAAGCCAATCTAATTGGCCATAACCGTACATCACTCCACGCCACTCTGACGCTATTAACCGTGAAACTGTGTCTCTCTGACACATGTACAATATAAACAACCTACTTTACTGGTCATGAGGATGTTTTTTTTTTTTAAGTACAACCAGGGTTAAAGAGTAGGAAATTGCATAAAGGAGTATGTCATAGATTTAGCCAAATTGTAACCCGACTTTTGATTTCACGTATTGAGTGATGGCTTTGTTTTTCTTTTTGTCAGCTGCATCACGTTCATGGCAGCAAGTGCAGCATATTTATGCCAAAACTGTCACTCTGATGCACATAGAAAAAATAATAAACAACACACAGATTATTGATCGCTCATAAAAACAACAACAATAATAACACATAACACTGCCTTTTCAGGGAAATGAAATTTTGTCAGTGCTCATACTACAAGTAAGGGGCAATCTCCCTGGTCTCACAACACACCTGATTTCTCTTAATAAAAGTGCAGACCAGTGCCGTCTGAGGAGTATTTTAATAATGTTCCTTATTAAATAAAGAGTCCCTGTTCTGTGTACCCACAGGTTAAAAATGTAAGAAAAAAAGAACAGGAGGAACTGCAGTGAGGTACCCAGTCACTCTGTTATGTTTTCTGACACAGCTGTATCAATGGACGGATCCTTATTTAGTGCTTTTCTTTAATAATCTGTAACCATATACACAAACACTGCAAAATCAAATCTTCCTCTGTGTGATTCTTTGAAATTCAGCACAAACCAGATGTGCCGATGCTTCAAACAGTATCTCAGATCAAACCTGAAAATAACAGGGGTCAATGAAGCAGCGAACCTATAAGAAAGCCAATGCTCTAACCAAAAAACTGCCAAGGTTGCATGCTGGGGCAATGCTGCCCACTGCTTACGAGAGGCGTGTATCCACAACAGACTGGGTCTAAAGGTTGCAATGCTCTGACATATGAGCATGTGTGTACACTTGCCTATGTGGTGATGACATGGAACCCTCTTTTAGAATTAAGTGACAGCTGGAAAGGATCATGAGACCACTGAGAAAGA